GAGCTTCCAACATGTTGGAAACTTTCGCTCTGATCGCAACGGTAGGAGCGATTTTTGGTCGGGACCCGACGAAATAGGTCTGGTCCGGCCAAGCCGTCATAATAGAGTCGACGTTTTTGTTTTGGTAATGGCCGATGATGTGCATTTTAATATGAATTCAGACTATAAATCGTTCTTAAATGACGAAACAAGCAGGCCCTTCGTAACCGTTCACGTTAACTTCATCATATCATAATGCAAATATTATTTCATTACATTCATGTCTGTCACAATGAGCGGTGGCAAGAACTCGCCGCTTTAGTCGTAGAGCGAAAATCGCGGACCGTTTGTGGTACATGCGAAATGAAACCACCATTAGCGACAGTTGTGAACAGAGCGATTGGAGCGAACAGAACGATTTTCTTTTTCGCTGCAATCGTGGCATGTGAAACAGCCTTAAGCACGCAAATCAAGATGGTTGTCTGTTGGCATGGCAATAAAAGTAGTGCGCGGCGGCGAGCCAGTTTGGTCGACATGCGAATGTGCGTGAGCCTTGCAGCGCTGCCCTGGCAGTGTACACGGGGCGAACTACAGGCCGACTTTGGCAATCGGAAGGAGTAGTGCTGCTCCATAGGTCTTCCCCATATCGCCCTATACCACAACGCAACCCATTGCTTTTGCGTACACCCACGAGCAGCAGCACATGTACCGTCGGCCACATGCTCCGATTGTGCTGTTTAGGCAGAAAGGATATGTTCATTAAAAGATGCTTGTGTTAGCGCCCCTTCAGTCGCCCTCACCGATAAAGAAAAGTTGTTCCTTTGCTTGTAGGTGTGATGCAATAATGCATTATCATTGTGTTTCGGGCATGACAGGCAAAACTGGTAACTGTATAAAAGCGTTGGCTTTTCGCAAGAAATAAATTTCTGGCAGTTCAGCGCTTTGTCTCGTCTTTAATATCCCCTCCTGCTAAGCCCTATTTATCACGGAACTTTAAAGAGACACTAAAGTATAGTAACGATTGGCGTAAGGGTGAAAAGTCAATGTATGAAACATTTTAAACGACAAGATTATCAGCAGCAGTGCCCTAGTTACGGATAAATTGATGTAAATGCAAAAGAATACATGCGCCGCTGTAAGACATTCTCAAAATAATAACGATCATGTAAGAAGAACCGCCTACAAATAATCACTGCTAATCAATCTTGCAGCAATGAATAAACAACCCTTTACGCAATAAAATGTTGTTTGTTTGTTGCTGTTTGATTCATGGAAAAAAGAACCACCATACGTTACTATCGAAAATGGCACTAGTGGTTCTAAAATTGCTGCTGAAACTGGACAGGGCGTGCCATCTAGCGGAGTGCTGTTGAACCAAAACACGTCTGCCATCTCGGAGCCAATAGCAGGAAATGGATCATAGGCTGTGGTTGCTGCTGCAGCTCCCGCTTCTTTCGTTCTGTCTACTAGAGTCGGCGACGACGCAGTAAAGCAGGGTAACACTGTATACGGACACAGTCATGTGAGTCCATAGAGTTTCATACAATGACTCCTTGGGAAAAATCTGGTGCTGCGATCGTGTGCCCTCATGGGAAATAATGAAAGTACAGACTTCAAATTGGATCGCGTTAGCCAATGAACTTTTTACGGATGTTTTGCTGCCGTTTCAGTTTCGTTCTTCGCGTAGAGTGGGTGGTGAGGTGGGTGCGAATGACTTAAGCTGCCCCTTTGTTCTTCAAAGGAGCTAAAAACTGTTTGGCCACTCAGTTTACTGCATAGCTGGTGCTGTATCAGTCGTGTTTGACAGTTTAAGCGAAGCGTCGTCTACTCACCGCTGCGCATAGATGTAGCGTTCCATGACAGTGCAGAATATTACACCGACATCACGTTTGTTCTTAGGGCGTTTTACCAAAACTCGTTGAAATCAACTACAAAACGATGGCGACGCAATGTAGACGCACCACCACGTTCTTCTGACTCGGCTTCACAACAAAAAGAGAGGTGCGATGGGTGCATACCACTTGAACAGACGCACCTGGCATCGCAGCAGATAAAGCGTTATGTGTTTCTCGCTTATTGCTGTTATTTTCATAAATAGATATTGCGTACTTTAGAGGGCAAACCAAGCATGTTTGTTTTCAAATGTTGTAAGGAATAATTCATTACATCTTGATGCCGAATCAGGAACGCAACGGCATAGCAATGCATCCCCTGGTGGTTAAATTTGTCGAGGTTTCACTTCTACCGCTTGGTCACAAGAACTGTTTGCAACAAAGTTTGCGTACAAAAAATACAGCGAATTTCAATTTGATATCCCTTCATATCACTTTGTTTCACGCTCAGAAAAAAGCGTCACGAATCTTAAGAACATGATCCATCCGAAGCAGATCCGAAGCCTGTACTTCCCATCATTCCCATGCGGGTACAAGCGCCGCTGAAGGAGTCCGCGTAAGGTCCCTAGATGAAACAAGGTAGCGTCACTCATTGTTCTCGAGCCGTCCTCCTCACTCTCTCGATTACTCTTCTTTTTTTCTGCCATCCGCGTTTGTAATTGGTGCATTACTTGCACGTGATCTTGCAAATGGCTGGTGGTGTTATTTATTATTATGCAAAAGGTTCAAAACGAGTTCGCATGCGCATATGGCTCCAGCCGGATTCTCGCCGTGACCAAAGACAAAATCGTAGCCAGAACATAAACTGAAGAGGAAGAGCGTTTCGGTGTGCGCTAAGTCGACCAAGATTGTTTCGCCATGCTCGTTCAACGCAACATCTGCGTTTTTCAGCAATGCTGCGTTGCTGTAAACAACAGAAAATGGTTTCGCTCTCTTCAACTTACCTCGTGCTTTCCGAGATGAAGCGCACCATGAAGTGCAACTATGAACCATTTCACGCGAATGCTTTCGTGCAACTCCGTCAACGTATGTCGACGCAGACCTGCAAAGCGAGTTCACTTGTCGGTTTTTATTGAAACGCCAGGCGCGCGTCTAGTGCGTGTCTAGTGCATGCCAGTTGGTACAAATACATGTAGGTATGCGCGTATACAGAGCAGCTGTAGGTTGTAATCAACGCACCTTCAGAAACATTTCACTCTTGACCAGTTCCCGCTTGAGCCGAAACGCGCTGCTTCGAGACACCTCACCAGTAGAACTCTCACTTTTCAGGAAGTTCCCAGCACCGCATCAGAATCACTTGGCATCACGATTGTCCAAATGGGCACATTTAAAGGAAACGTCATCGCAGTGCTGCTGGACGAGTGTTCGTACCAGTCTGGTCATAGTTTTTTTTCTTGTGTGTGCACAAGCCGGTTGTAATCAATCGCCACAACGTCACGCCCTGTGGCCACTTACAGGATCCAGCAAGAAGCACGTTCACTGTGTCACAGCACGAACAAAGCACAATCGGAGAAGTGGACTAGTTAGAACTGGACGAAATACCGCGGCCGTGGACCTAAAATGTAGTACGCGAGACGCCATGGCTAGTGGTGTAAAGTATAGAACCGCACAACGTTGCCGGTTGTGTAACGCACATCCCGCTTGCTCTTGTGTTGTGCCGTTTATGTTCATAAAGGTAACTGTTTATTCTACGTCTTATTTCGTTCCATTTTGTTTCATTTACATCTATTCAACGTAGCAACAGAACCCAAACATTCGCTTTTGGATGAAAGTTTTAAACCTTCTAGGGAGTGCTTCAGGCAAATAAGCGAGGAGGAAAAGGGAGGGTGTCGCTACCTTGGAAACTTGTTTCATCTAGGGACCTTAAGTCCGCGTAGACACTAGCGCCAGAATCCACTCTAGGTATTATTCTATGAAACTCTATGCGTCAATCAGAACGCTCCTTGAAGCGGGTATATTGAAGTGCGCTAACCCGATGTGTGTCTTTAAAACGTGATTTTATTTCAAATGATGCCGTTCTTTGGCAGAAAAGTAACATAACGAGGTTTCTAGACTGCTGTTTAACAATCAAAGTCGAATATATAGTTGCCTTTAGTGCCCCTTTATGTCGACCCATGCGCTGTTTCACAGGCTGCTTATGGTTCCCATTATTGGGAGATTGTGGTTTTCTTTCTTAGACCGCAACTACGAAACCAACTGAAAAGGCTTGTTCTGGGAAGTGTGTTTGCTCACCACTTGCTTTGGAATAAGTTGTTTTAGCTATAAAAAATGGTGTTTAGAAAAACACACGAAGTTTGATAACATTCACAGACATTGTTCTGAATGATGAAGCACGAATGATAATCCGTTCGTTTTCAATTTTGCCTTATCTTGTGCCCTTAACAGGGTTTTGCCAACAACTCACCTATTTTGCCGAATAATAAAATTGGTGACAGAAGCGTCGTATCAGTTTCTGGACAGTGGTATCACTACTCTTACCCAAAATGTTAATCTCTTACAAATTTTTAATGTACATAAAGCCTGACAATGCGAACGTGAATGTCCTGTGTTCTTAAGTGGCAGTTCTTTGACGTGTTAATGCGTAGGTACTGAAAGACGACTAACAATATTATCGCATCGGAGCATTCGCTTATCTCCGTGCATTGTTTCGAAGTCACCGCGCATAATTTGCACACACCATTCTCATTTTGCAAGAATGAACAATTGTCGCAGCAACAAGATATATTAAAGGCCACTGAATACTCGCCTTATCTTACCTCGCATTTAATTCCCTTAGTTCGTTTCTGCTTCGCGAGAATAGCGTCGCGCTGTACTGGGCTGATTCAGGATTAAGTCTAGTGAGTATCATGCGTGCAACGTGTCGCTGTGCCACGTCTATAGCCTTGATCTCTGCAAGACACGTGAAGCTGATTGTCAAACGCGTGTCGTCGAGCACTATCTGCCATGTTTGACAAAGGTTTTCGGGGTTGCTGCACAATACGAAAAAAACTGTAAAAGTGGCCTGATTGCTTTTCTTGGAGGAGAGGGCGGGGGGGGGGTCGGGGCAATGGCAAATTGCTACGTTCTTATCGGAAGGAGGCGTGACTGTAGATGTGCTTTTTACGTCTAAAAATAAAGGCCTGTGCAGCTCACTTGTACGCTGCACATGTGTATAGTACAATTGGTGGTACCACCTAAAGTATTGTGTTGAAAACATAAGAAAAAACAATACGTGCAATGTTATCCGTAGAGTACGTGCTCTTTTCGAAATTCGTGGCTATCAATTTTCAACATACGAAAGTGCTGAGATGTGGCGTCCTATAAACGTCACTAATCGTTATCTCTTTTCGTCAGGAATGCACGCACGATGTAATTGGAGGTATAAAAAGACCAGGGAATGACTGCCCAACAGAAGATTGCGTCACTTTCTCATTCTTGTTCAACAAAACGTTCGGCAACTCACGGTAAGAAATGTTTCAATAAATATTAGAGGTCACTTTGAATTGTATTTCAGCATTGAGGTAATGAAGGCTTTCTAGCCTTGTAGCTTCACTTAAACTAATGGCTTAAATATGTTAGCAGCACATGTGTATTTGATTTTGCAGGGGTATAATTTATCCCGCAGCATTATTTTTTTTAATTATTTGCGCTGTTATTTTGCCATTGGCGTAGTTTTCTTGTCTAGTCTGGTGTCATTACCAACATTTGGGTGATAATTTATTTGAAAAGGTAGATCGACGTTTCTTGTATTTTGTTGTTTACATATAGCAAATTGTAACCATAGCCAACCACTTTTTCATTGCACGTACATTATATCGTAGGACTCGAGCAATGCTTCCTTCATTTCTTTAATGCCAGTGAAAACGCTCGCTTCTCAGCGGGAGACGTCGGTCCACCTCAGTTTAGGGAGAGGGTCGTGTACGACGCTACATGAGGGGTAGAGCTGCCTGCGTCACACGGGTGCCCACGCGCTTTACCCCTGAGATGCGACAGACGTGTTTCGCACTTCAACATAATGTTTCATACAATAATATTTAGAGAGGAATCTGGCACTGCGATCGTGTACCTCCATGGTAATTATGGGAAGTACAGGCTTCGGATTGAATATAATCAGAAAAACAACCAGAAAGTGTTGCCGCAAGCGACATCCAATAGTTGTACTTTGTAGCTGTAGCTAGTCACTACTGTCATTCTGCAGACTTTCTTGAGCCAACTGATGCGAAGCAATTGAAAGATGGTGCAGGTGCAGGTGCCTTGAGGACCTTTGGTGTTCAAGCCGACAGCAGAAGCTCCGCAACAGCTTTCTTGGAGCGGAGAGAAAGGCGCGACAAAGAAAGGGCGTGGAGGCAACGAAATGAAAGGCTTCAGGCAACAGTAGACGCCTACAAAAAAGAGCTGCATAGAGTAAAGGAAGAGTGTAACGTAAGCCAATATCTTCTAGTAGCCAGAGACTGAGATCAGGGCTGCACTAAAGCCAGAGTGATAATGAACTAAGTCCTAAACACAAGATGAAAAAACCAAAGTGTTGTGAAACCACTATATGACAGTGCGTGATTCTGAAAAACCTCTCTACAACATCATACGAGTATATCAGGACCGAGATCTTCGTACTCCCGTGCAGAACTACGCAACAAAGAGACATGGGAACAACAGCCAGAGAAGTAGGCTTCAGTGAGCTAGTAAAGCAGAGGCTCAACACTGAAATCAAGTGCCTGGGAACGGAACAAGCTAAAATTTCCAGTCTCGTCATAGACGAAATGCGAACAAATCAAAGCAATACCACAAACAACGAGACGCCTTCTTGGAAGACATAGACATGGGCGTTCTCAATCAAGTGTTGTCAGACTCGGAAAGAAGCGAACTTGCAAATTCACTTTTGTGCTTTTTGATCTGTAGCCTCCCGCTAGGTTTCGGATACCACTGGGACACTTCTTCACCAGATGACGCAATGGCGAACTACTTGCGGAAACGACCAAGCACGTCATCAAGAAGCCTGAGGAAATAGGATTCGAGATATTTTGAGTTGTGACGGACAACTACAAAACAAATGTCGCTGCAATAAAAACATTATCAGGTGGGCAATTGAAAGCCCGAGTGCCTCGTCCCGCTGACCCAAGCCGCAGTTTGTTTCTGGCGTTCGATCAGAGTCACATCTTCAAAAACATCCGATCGCAATTCCTGGAACGAAAATTGGGAAAAAATGGTGAAATTTCTTCAACCTACATAAGGAACCTTTATAAGATGCAGCGGAGCTTGATTATCAAGCCGGTCCGTTTTCTCACAGGCAAACGCGTCTATACGTCTAATATGGAAAAAAATAGGAGTCAAGTCTGCCGTCCAGTTGTTTTCACCAACTGTGAGATTGGCTTAGTCCTTCATAAAAGATCGTGCCGGGCACACGTGCGACGCCAAGTTCGCCAACGTCGGCCCAACTGTTGAGTCCATGAATAATGTGAGCAGATGGTTTACTTTCGTGTACGTCAGCAACTGGCAGCAGCATATTCAGCAGAACCATCCGGACATCAGGCAGTTTGATGATTCTGAGGACTCCAGACTTAAGTGACCGGAACTTTTCTTTATTTAGAATACATTGAAGAGCTCAAGATGGCAAGCGCACCAATGAACTTTTTAACAAAAGAAACTCACCATGCACTGGTATTCATCACAGTCGCCAACGTTCAGAGTGTAAGAATTCTGTTAGAGGGTTCAAATTTGTGTTGACTAAAAAGTTTTCAAGCGACCCCATCCAATCCCTGTTTCGAACGCTTCGACGCAACAGTGGCTGCAATGATATGCTTCATGTCAGAAGCGCTCTTTCGGGGTCTTGAGAAGATGCTGAAGATGCGCATCGTTGCGGCTTCCCACACAAGCGATGTGCAGAACTCAGTTTCGTTCGCTTCCTCTGAGAGCATTATTATGAGTGGTGACTCAAGCACCACATCAACAACAAGCGCGGTCGCAGCAGTGAACTTGGTGCAGCACCTACTGCAAAGACTCAGCCCTTCGACGAAGCCGTTTAGGCCCACGCCAAATATAGCAGCACTTTCTTTCATCACAGGATGCATATCTCGAGTCATGAGTGAAAAGACTGACTGCGACAGCTGCGTATCGTTAGCCTTGAAGGCAACAGGGAGCAGCACCAGTGCTCTTACGGACGGCTTGATTTCCCACCAGGACACAGGTGGCTTCTGCTACCCCGCTGCAGAGCTCTTGCATGTGCTGCATGCCCTGAAAAGATTTATGGACGTGATGCTTATGCACCACGCAGCGCTCCTGAAGCCTCTAAAGACATGCGTCGTGTAAAGTGCGGATGTAATTGTTGGCCTGCCAGTACTGGTGTGTGACCGTTGTGACGAAATCCAAAGATGCAAATTATTAGAACTTGTGTGCAGAAAGTTCATAAAGCCGCTGCTCACACAATTTGCTGTTGACTTCATCGATAAAAAATTTGTGGCCCGGCTTGATCAAAGAAAGCCGTTGTCACGGAAGTTTTTGAAGCTTTATAAAGCTTGCACGACACGCGTGCACCTTCAACGTTGAACTGACAAGTGGTTTCAGTTCAACCGGTTGTTTCTTAACTTCTGCTGACTCATTTCTTTTTGTTTTTGTCTTTTGTGCATATAAAACAGCTATGTCTTGTTTCATTACTTCACCCTATGAATTCCACTTATGTTTCAATCGGAATCAATATTTGCCAGAGCACTCCTTTGAGCGCTTCCGAACAAAGATTAAGACACGTTACGGCGTGTTTTTTTGTAATACGTTACCGAAACATACGCACGAGTGCGAAATTACCAAATACGAAGGAAAGTAATTGCAGAAAATTGGAAAAAGCCAGTGGCTCGCCGCATCCACCCATAGGAGTCAAGCAAAAAGAGGCCACGTGAGAGGGTAATAACTTGACGCCACCACTAGGTCACTCGGAGAAATAGAGCGCCAATCGTAGAGCAATAGGAATGGGCCTGACGCAACTGGCACAGGAATAATAGAGGAGACGCTGATTGTGAACATGAGAGATGCATGACACCGCCCAATGGATGTGTAGCACTTTTCACAAAAAAATACATCATGTGATTTCCGTCGAGAGGCAGTGAATGAGGAGTTCTCTTCGCATGACCGCAAAGTACACGCGAAAGCTAGGCAATAAGCTACAGCAGAAAAGAGCAAGAGGAGAGGCTGATGAATGGCTGGATGGGGCACATCTGGTTGGCATTGCATGGAATAGCGAAGACGTTCTCTCGAGAAAAACATGGTGCTTTTTAGAAGGCTCTCAATTATCGAGGTCTAGCAGACTCATGCTGTGTATTTAGAAACAAAAAAACACAATTTTCCCTCGCAGCCCCTTTTGGTGTTCCTAGTCAAGTGAATACTTATCTGAATTTTCACGCAGTACGACGTTCCTGTTGTAGTGAAACTTTTACTCCTCCTGTTGTATGTGTAACTAATCTTGCCTAACGTATATTTTCTGCTGTAGTTATTTAGTTGAGCGAGATTCAAACAGTTTAATTATTTATTAATTGCTTATTATGAAGGTTGCAGTGTTGTGCGAAACGGGTAACATTTATAAGTATTACACTCAATGCATCACTATAAACAGTGCGAGAAATATTATCGTAGTATGTACAGCACACTATAAGTTAGTCGATACGTACGAACGTTACACAATCATTGATGTTTAAAGCGACGTTTTGAAAGTATTACAGTTCCCACTCACCTGACATGGGGGATGAGAATTATGAAAGGTGCTTCCTTCTCTGGATGTATACGCCCACCAAAATCTCCAAATCTGACACCGATAGACTCGCATTGTGAAGTCCACGTATGGATTTCAGGAAGTTGTCATTGAGCACGTTGACGAATCTTGAGAGCCACACGACAGCGAGAAACAGTGAAAAGTTCAATACATACACTTCAACTTTGTAGTCCTAATGAAACAGTTGCTGTAATTTCATGGTGGCCTTAACTAGCATGTTTCTGAGAAGTTTCGGTGTCTGTGCAAAACATCATATTCTGGGCCACCGCGCAAATATAAAAACATAAAAATAACAAAATAACAAAATGTTTTATTCTGGCTAAAATCAATCCCAGGCTGTTTGCTTCAGGTGCCCTGAATTACAGCCACGCTATTGCTTAAAACTGACCTGCTTCAGAAAAAAACAATTTAAAAAATTCATGTGGTGTAAATACTCTCCTTAGGGAAACACACCACGTGCGGCAGAACTCAGAAATCTTGCCAAGTGTTAAATTATGTGATTTGGGCAACGAGTGGGTGTTTTAAAAGTTATTTAATCACCATCTATTATTGCATCTAGATTGTGAGCAGCTGCATAGGTTTGCGTATTGCCTTACGGACGTACAGTGGTGCACCTTTTTCTAATCGCAAAAGGCGGAGTTGTGGCACAGTGGGCATTTAACAACCGCACTTGCAGTGGGGACTGAGGGTTAGCTTGAAACGGTCATTGTTAAGCACAAATTCATTGATTTACTTGCAGAACGCATAGCACAAGTAACCTGAACTAAAGCGAAGCTAGCACTTGTTAACGATCTGCACATTGGCTGTCATTGTGCTATACTGTTGAATGCTTCAACCTCAAGCGTCCTCCAAGATTCCTTTTTTTTCTTTCTATTCATAACCATCACAGTGGCGGCTGCATACAGTAGCAGCGCTCACGAGTACCATGACATACAAAATTGATCGCAGATACCGTCCAACCAATTAGATCAGCTTGAAATGTTAATGATGTAGTACAGAGAAGATATTGTTGAATATTGATTTCTTATTGTTCTACTTTTACCAGGCACCATGAAGCAAACAGCCTTCGTCCTTTTTCTGTTTATCTCCGGGAACGTGTTGGGTGAGCAACGATTCCTAAATACACTCATAAGTATGGAAAACCAACATTGATCAAATAGTTGAACTTGTACCATTGCAAAAGCAAAAGTGATATATTTGTATAAATCGCTGTTTCTAAAACATAGATAAATCACTAGAATTTTGTATACCATATTTTGTATTTTGACGGTTCGTTTCTTTTTGTGACACAGATTTTTATTGGGAATTAGATACAATGGCTACAAGAAACGTAGAACGGATTTTATTACTGGTATTTCTATTGCATATTTGAACCAATGAGTCCTTACCGTCAGCACCTTCGGTGAAGCCTTCATAAATTTACAAAGCTGGCACGCTTCTGCATTACAAGGTTCAAAATTAGGATATAGCTTGATCGCCTCGTTGTGCTAGCTGTTTCGAGATGGACGAATGCGAGGTGTATAGATGAAAATGACATATGTTCTCACTGACAGCTTTTTGTTGTCTTGATGGTAATGAGCACATTTGTGTCTCATTTTGATAAACACGCAAACGCACTGGTAATTTATACTCCCAGTCAGCAGTGGCAGGGAACTGTTCTCACAGTTCGGGCCACTTAAAATATACAACTCTCCTGGTGGAAAAGGTGGGTGTTGACGTGGCGAATGTGGGACAGGACTTCTATTGTGAACTCTCCATATCGAGGAAGAGACATTCACCATCTGTGCAATTTCTCAGTAAAACACGCACAGGGTTCTCATGCGTAAATACGAAGATTACCATACCAGACAGTCTTGGCTTGAAATCCTCCAGAGGTGTTGGCAATTATGTTGACTCTTTGAAATACGGCAGGGGTTTGGGGGTGAATTAGTTTTTAGGATTGTTGCTGTAGTATTGCGATACCATACACGCAATGTCGTGAAACCTCATATATAACTTTGAGCTTCCAAACGACAAAATTATATTTTTTTTTGCCAGAATGCGAACCCAAAACGCATAAAAAATTATTATCTCACGCACTTTTCTTCCCTACAATGTGTAGACGAATGTAACTTCAAACAGGTTAATGTGAACACTGGTCTGAAAGAAATCCTGAAAGAAAGCTGGCTTGAAGTGAGCGATTTTGCATTACATCTCGTTAACTGTGTGACTTCTTTATTTGAGAAAATCTATCACATATTAGGAGCGGGCGGGTACTCATGAGATACAAAAGGGAATTGAATGCATTTTTTTCGTCGAGTATCGCCGGTAAGATGGCTGTCATTATGGATAATCGGCGTCCTGCTCTGCGAATCACATCTTACACAACTAATATAGTTCACTACCGCAACACATCACCGCTAAAATATGGCGCAACATTTTCTATTGTCTAGGTTTCTTTATCTATTTTTCGTAAATTTCTACCTAAAGCTACTTGAAATGATTTATTGATTGTTCTGAAATCTAGTATACAGCCTCGTTAAAAGCTTACCTGAACAAGCAGATGTATCCCCACAGTAGACATATACAGCGCGTTCAGTAATCAAGAAGAAATAGTAAAGAGCAAGATGGCTTGTTCTTTTTTAGGTTCCTCTTATAAGCTTCCAGGGAAAGACGAGACGTTGGATGTCACTGTCAACAAACAACCAGAGCGCTTTGATGTTGAAACTCTTCCAGTCGGCGAGGCACTGCGCACCATAACGCATGGTCTTCGCGGAGGTGCAAATAGTTTGGAAAGAGCGGAGGACGAGGTGAATATTTTATTTGCGCTTCATGCAAACTGCTTTAGCACTCTACAATATTGTCGCCCATTTTCTAGAAAGGTTGGTACAAGTATAGATCTGCGAGACCACTCATATAATAACAAGTAGTGCTCCACATGAAAAGCGGGTTGCCAAAAAGAAAGGATTGGCCAATACCAATATGTTCTATTAGCATAAAAGTGATTAGAAATATTTATTTGCATATTGCGGATTCAGCCAGGCAATTTACCACAATAACAAAGTTGCATTACCCAATAACAAACGCGATTATATGCCCACTACACATGCCTGCAAAATAAGGTGAATAATATCGGCGGCGTGAGTGGGATGTCTGCCCACGCGTATTGTAGTATAATGTGCCAGAACTGTATTGACACCCGCGAACCTACTACGAGCAATATGTCAAGTGGCACCTTTTGGTCATAATTATTACGGTGATCCCGATATGGCGTGTAGGTTACAATAATACTGTAGTTTAGCACCAATAGCCTGTTAACCTTAATACGGATAAATTTGTGAATGCTCAGTAGTTGAAGAAGTTATTTGCCTTCATATATCAATAAACGGGTGCACGTGTATAAGTGGCCGGTATATTGCCTGCACATGGCTGACGTGCGTAAAACAGTGTGCCAGGATTGTTTTTTTGCTTTATCGATTGATGATATCGCATATTAACAAGGCAGTTTATTTATTATGACATGTCCTGATAAATTTATTGCTCTTCAGGCTGTACTTAATAAGAAGCCAATTACAAAGGCAAATGCCTGAAGCGTCTCGTGAGACAGTGGGCTTAAAACACGACGTAGTTTTTAATCTCGCTGGCTATATAAAAATCAGACAGAAAACACAATTCGGGAGGGAATGCAACACATTTATTTTAGGTGACAGTTGATGAACCAGGCTAATTTGTTCATTAATATAATGAGAAGTTGTCGTCCTAGACTGACAGACTGTTATACTACCGAAGCGTCACGTCAATTTAAGAAGACAAGAAAATTATCTACCTTTAATACTGACAAAAGTGCCCCATTTTTAAGGGCATTCTTGCATGGCAGAAACTGATGCGACCCTATGCGTAGTTCATAATCAGTGAATGTTTTCAACGCTGTGAACTCATAACACTGGGCTCATATATAATAGGAACAGCCATTTATTTGACGGTGTCCGCAGCAGTCACATGGCTCTGCAATCCTCAGCGTTCATGACGACCATAATGAAGATCAAAACATAGCTGCTCTACATGACCCTCAATTTCTAGTCGCCTTAAGCAAACCATTGAGAATACGTGAATGCTTTTATTTTTCATCTCGTTAGAACGTCTATTGGAAGACAGGATCAGTGAGGCCTCGCTAATGTGCCATACTCAAAGCGAAAAGTAATCTAACATGCAATAATAATGAAAAACCTTTCTAGGCAAGCAACAGGATAATTCTGTGATCTGTGAATTTTTGAAGTCCAGCTTTTCGATCGCTACGAATTTTGTGAATTCATGAAATTTATAGAGATTAGTCATCAAGGCTAACTTGAAAAAACGCACGTTAACTACTTTTTCAGAATTTTGTCGTTACCAACTCCAATCGTGTAAACCAGGATTGAAATTCTTTCATGCTGGGGCTAAATACTATTGTTCACAATTTAATTTGTTGCGGAAGTCTTGGTAGGGCAAGGTTTATCCCCTTTCATAAGATCCGTTTAAGTTACGACACGATTGTACAGAAGTTCCCGCCCATCTCGACCGGGTCCAAACTGCCCCATCCAAACTCAACGACATCGCCCATGATTCAGCGCGCGCACTTACCGACCGCGCCGTCACACGGAAACGCCGTCTCACTCCATTAGAGACCAATCGGGATGTACCCATTACTTACAATGTTATCACAAAGCAGGTTTACCTTGAACGCTGCATTTTTCTACCCCCCTCCCCCAATCTGAAACTTAACAAACCGCAGACGCTATCTTTACGCCTATTACAAACCCCCTCGTACTTAAAATTTGCCAAGCTTCACGTCTGCTATCCCAATACGTACACCAGCGACATGTATCTCTCGTGTGGATCCACGGTGACACTCGCACAGGTGATCTATCAGTGTAGAAACATTCCTCCCCACTTTACCTCAAACAAGTGGGAGATGTCCCTCAGAAGCTCATTTGTCGCCGACCAGCAACTGGCCATCCAGCAGGCCCACGAAGTGGCCACTAGGTATCCCTGTCAGTCCCTACGTGGGAGACGTCCGTTACGCGCTAAGCGTGTCCTGCAGGACGAAAATAAGGTTTTTCCATTCCATTCCACTGTGCAGTAGTACCGACATCTGTAGGGCATTATTCGTGTTTGGCGTAGCCTCAACGTAAACGTTACTATACTCACAAACACGTATGAATCTCATGGGTTGACGAACTCATTTATGAGAAGACTCACTGACACTCACTCAGACTAAGGTGAACCCTTGAGTCTGAATTTGATTGAGTCAGGTTGAAGGAATTTTCGTGAGTGTGAGTTCGTGCAAGTTCGACCCAGCAAAATGTTGGTGAATCACAGCGTGAGTGAGTCCCAAGCGCACGATATATATTTATTCAGTAAATCTAGGTGAATCACACTTTCTTCTGCCGACCTACAGTCCTGTCTACGCAGTTTCAGCATTATCAGCCTTAACTGAATTGCATTTATTGTCATGTCTGTTCACACGTATTGCGAAGAAGTGTCGTTCAAACACTACTTCAATATTTATTGATCAGAGGCACGAATTACATAAAAGATGCCATGATGCTTCCCACTCCCTGCCTAATTTCGTCCGGGAAAAGTCTTGATAAATATATCAAGTAGCGATCTTGTCTATGGAAAATTATCCCACAGAAAATTTTTGTCAGGTTGAGACTGTGTGAGTCGAAAGCGCGAAAGGTATTTCATGAGTGAGTCTGAGTGAGTTCCACAGGTTTTGCCGACCTATGCGTAAGGTACATTTGAGAGCCCGCACAGCTTAGTATTACCATCTAACCAGGGCGTATCAAAAGCGTTCATACAATTTCGGCGCCTTCTACCAAAGAGCATATTGTTACGTGGAAAATAACAGTAGTCATTCCGCAGCCACAACGCAGCTCACCGACAACGTTCACTTCTTCACTATCAGTCTGAGGCACCTTTCTTGGGTATGTCCCACTATGCCCTGTTTTAGTCAGCCAAAATCACGTAACAGCACCCCCGGTGACAAAAGCGCCGACCCGGCGAGCTTACGGGGCCACAGCTGGAGCACTGAGGAAACGCTTGAGCATTAATACGTAAACTATGTCCCGGGACAGCAGAGCAGAAAAGGTTGATGGATTATCAGGGACAATTTCATATGTAGTGTCAGTCACTTGTCTAAGCACGTGGTATGGGCCCGTGAAACGAGAGAGAAGCTTCTCTGAAAGGTCTGAATGTCGCGTAGGGGACCAAAGAAGAACGTGGGAACCTGTCGGAAAGTAATTGTCGCGATGCCGCTCGTCGTAACGATGCTTCAGCGAGTCTTGGAACGCCATTAATCTGCTGCGGGCAAGCTGACGAGCATGGTCACCTCGGGTAATAGCGTCGAGAGCATATTCAGAAGTAGACTGCGCAGCGGCTGGCAGGAAGGTATCCAATGGCAATGTTGGTTCGTGTCCAAACAGAACTTAAAATGGCGAGTACCCAGCAGTGTCATGCCGGGAGGAATTGTATGCGAACGTCACGTAGGGTAGTGCAAGGTCTCAATCACAATGGTCGGCCTAGACAAATTTCGATAGCATATCGGTCACGGTGCGGCTTAAACGTTCTGTAAGCCCGTTTGTGTGGGGATGGTACGATGGCGTGAGCTCATGTTGGGTAGAGCAGGAATGCAGGATATCGTCTACTACTTTCGAAAGGAACGTACGGCCTCGGTCTGTCAGCAGTTAACGAGGGGCTCCATGCACTAAAATGAGATAGAGTAGTAGAAAATCAGCGACATCTGTGGCGCAGCTTGTTGGCATGGCTCGAGTAACTGCATAACGGGTCGCGTAATCTGTAGCGACCGTGACCCGCTTGTTTCCGGAGGCGGATGTTGGGAAGTGACCGAGAAGGTCCAAACCAACACGGAAGAATGGCTCCGATGGGATGTCGATGGACTGAAGATATCCGGAAGGGAGTCCTGACGGCTTTTTGCGACGCTAGCTAATTTCGCAAGCGTTGACATAACGACGTACAGAGCGTGAAAAGCCAGGCCAGTAGAAGCGGCGGTGCACACGGTCATATGTGCGAGAGACACCAAGGTGACGCGCGGTTGGCACGTCATGGAGCTCGCGTAGGACTGTGGAGCACAGGTGCTTTGGTATGACCAAAAGTAGGTCGTGACCATTGGGCGATAAATTACGCCAATATAAGGTGTGGTCCTTTAAGGTAAACATGGGAACAGAAGCGTCTTGCGGTGAAGATTCGAGCTGTTGTATTAGGCAGCTGATATCCGGATCGCGACGCTGCTCGTCCCCGAGATGAAGCAGCTGGGAGATGGAAAGAACGCAGCCCACAGAATCGGTGATCGTATGATCGCAGTCCCCACAGGGTAGCGTGACAGACAATGCAGGTCTTTGTGCAGTTTTCCTGATTTATACACTACATTGTAAGAATACTCTTGGAGGCGGAGTGCCCAGCGCGTGAGACGACCTGTGGGATCTTTGAGGGAGGCGAGCCAGCAATGAGCGTGGTGGTCGGTGAGAACTATAAATGGTCGGCGGTATAAGTAGGGGCAAATTTTCGTGACTGCCCACACCAGCGCTAAGCATTCGTGCTCTGTGGTGGAATAAAGACGCTCCAAGGGGGACAGCAGCCTGCTTTCATAAGCTATCACGCGATGCTGCTCACGTTGTCACTAAGCCAACACAGCGCCTATTCCGTAAGCGCTGGCATAGGTGCGGCTTCCGTCAGTGCCGTAGGGTCAAAGTGAGCCAGAACTGGAGAGGAAGTGAGCAGAGTGGTCAGGTCGGAGAATGCTGCTGCTTGCGAGGGACCCCAAGTAAACGTCACATCTGGTTTGAGTAAATTTGCTAGGGGCCGAGTGGTTTCCACAAAGTTCTTGATGAACCACCGAAAGTAGAAGCAGAGCCCCACAAAGCTGCGGACATATTTGGGGGTTTTTGGCACAGGAAAGTCTTTTACAGCTCGAACTTTTTCTGGGTCAGGCTGTACGCCATAAGCATCAACAATATGTCCAAGTGTTGTAATGCGGTGGCGAGCAAATCGGCACTAGAATGAATTCAGCTGAAAGGCGGCGAGATGGAACACATCAAGAATTTTCGACAGTCTCTCAAGTTGCACTTCAAAAGTGGGAGCAAACACAATCACGTCATCCAGATAACAAAGACACGTAGACCACTTGAATCCATGGAACAGGCAGTCCATCATTCGCTCAAAGGTGGCGGGGGCATTACATAAGCCGAAAGGCGTGACTTTGAATTATTAGAGGCCATTGGGTGTTACAAAAGCCGTATTCTCTCGGTCCATGGTGTCCACGGCAATCTGCCAATAAGCAGAACGAAGATCGAAGGAAGAAAAGTGGGCGGTACAGTGGAGGCAATCAAGGGCGTCGTCGGTTCGGGGCAGAGGGTATGCGTCTTTCTTGATGATGTTGTTAAGGTGGTGATACTCCACACAAAATCGCAATGATCCGTCCTCCTTTTAACAAATACCATAGGGGATGCCCAGGGACTGGAGTATGGTTCAGTAATGTTCTTCGCTAGCATCTTGTTCACCTCCTTCTGAATGATGCTCCACTCAAAAGCAGACACTCTGTAGGGATGGTGGTGAACAGGGTTGGCATCACCTGTGTGTATGCGATGCTGGACAAAGGACGTCTGCCCTAGAGGTCGGTCGACAGAATCGAAAATATCCTCGAGAAGACCTCGAGAAGATGTTGAAGGGCTTCAACTTTCGGAGGTGGAAGATCAGTGGCGATCACGTCTACAATTTGGGGGCTGCCCGAATGTGTTGCGAGTGGTGTGCGCTGTGGTGAAACAAGGGTGTGTAAGGCAAGCACTTCAATTTGTGAATCGAGCAACGGACACAGGTGGGCCACAGAAATGCCTTGTGGAAGCATATGATTTATGTAGCTGAAATTTACAAGTGGTAGAGAAGTTCTGTTATCTGTGATGCTGAGCACCGTGTAGGACACTGCAGCATTGAGCGCAAGGAGTACGTCGGTGAGAGGCGTAGCGTAATAGTCACCGTCGGGCCCAAATGGTGAGCGCAGTAAATCAATGTACGTCACAGTTTTGGAGGGCAGGTGAACAAAGTCACTGCATTGTAATCGGCATGTAGGTTGGTACGGGGCGTCACTGATTTGTGGCAGTTCAAGGCGGAGCACACCAACGGAGCAATCAATCAGTGCAGAATTGGCGGCAAGAAAATCGAGGCCTAGTATGAGGTCGTGGGGTCATGTTGCAAGTACGGTAAAAAGGACGACGACTTGATGACCGGCTACGGTAAGTTGAGCTGTGCACATACCGACGGCAGGGACTGTTACGGCATCTGCAACGTGAACGACACTGGTCAAGGGGGGCGTGAGGACCTTTTTCATACGACGACAAAGAGGCGAACTCATAATAGACACGTGAGCGCCCGTATCAATCAAAGCTTCAACAGGTGCGCCTTCAACATATACTTTAAGGGGCTTCCGGTTCAAGCGTAAGGGCAACAGAGGATTTTTGGGTAAGGTCAACAGGGCAGCTTCACCTCCAGAAAGTGCGCAGCCTAGTTTTCCGGGAACATGCGGTGCTTAAGCGAAGGCGAGGCAGAGCGGCGACGCGTATTTGAACAAGAATGGCGGTTTTGAGGCGGTGGCGACGACGGGACAGGGTGGCCGTATTCCTCAGGAGAAGTAAACGCTGTAGACTCATTGCGGGCCGGATAATGGTGGCTTGGTGGACGGAATGAGTTATTGTAAGCGGGGTACGAGCCAGAAGGCATAGATGGCAACTGGCTGCGGCAGTAACGAGCGATGTGTCCCGCGCGACCACAACGGAAGCAGATTGGCTGTCAGATTGGAAGCATCAGCTGTTCGCCATTCAGACGGGTTTCTGGTTCGACTAGAGTACGGACGGCATCGTCTCGTGTCTACAGAAGCTATCGAGGGATCAATATTATCCAGGGTGGGTGCAGTGAACAGGATACCCAGGTTAGCGAATTCCTGGCTGACAACAGCCTTGATCAAAGAGACCGCTGGCGTTGAGGTGTCGGGCAATGTCGGTTTGTTGGCAGCCGGGTAAGCGGCCTCGAGTTCGCGTCGCACGATGCGCGTCACTTCTTCGGTTGTAGACGGATGACAAGGAGTGGCTTCGCAAGACGACGTTGCCGCGGTGTTGGGTAGGCGCTGGAACTGCTGCAAAATGCGTCGACTCTTCGCCTGCTCGAGACGGCGGCACTCTTTGATCACGGCGTCGATGGTGGTTACGTTCGCAAATTCAAGGATGCTGAACGCATCGTCGGCGATTCCTTTTAAAACGTGCGAAACCTTGTCGGCCTCAGCCATGTTGGGATCTTCCCTTTGACACAACGCTAAGACGTCTAGAATTTAAGTCAAGTAGGGCTCAGTGGACGTCTGTGCACGTACGGCCAATTGCTTTCGGGCATCAAGCTGTTGACCAAACAGGTTGCCAAAGAGGTCGCGGGGCTGTTGTTTAAACATTTCCCAGCTTGTGATTTCGTGCTCATGGGTCTCAAACCAGATGCGAGGGTTCTTGTCAAGATAGCAAATGACATTCGCAAGCATAACGGTTGGGTCCCAGCCATATTGCTTGCTGACGCGCTCGTACATACTAAGCCACTTGTCCACATTCGCGTTGTCCTCTCCAGTAAAGGTACCGGGATCACGGGGTTGCGTTAGGGCGATGTACCAGGTTGCTGTCATTACCGAGGTAGGTGGCGAAGGCGTATCTTCACCCGGAGCCATGGTAGCAGACTTAAGGAGGCGTCCACTGCGTAGCTGCGTTGTCAAAAGAGTACCCACCACCTCCACCAAAATGTTACGCGGAAAATAACAGTAGTCAGTCCGCAGCCACAACACAGCTCACCGACAACGTCTACTTCTTCACTATCAGTCTGGCGCACCTTTCTTGGGTATGTCCCACTATGCCCTGTTTCAGTCAGCCGAAATCACGTAACTATATCATAAACTTTATTTTCATGCTTGAAAATGCAACAGCACTGACTGTGTATACGGATGTCACTACAATGCAAGGGAACCATCTTTGCTCATTCTTTATTTAGTTATGTATATTTCTGTCTGTTGTGATGTTGCGTGTTCAAACTGTGTGAAATACAATGTATGCAGTATTGTAGTCATTAATACAATGTTTTCTAGTGGTTAAAACACGATTTCAATCGTCAGTGGAAACGCACTATCTGCTCTAGCGAAGAAATATGGTAACTTTGTACGAGCGTTCGCTGTCAGCACGTGTGTATATGGGACTTGTCGAGCTGCAGTCATCTCGCAAGAGAGAAAAAGCAGCCTGATCTTGCTAATCTGAAGTTACATGTCATTTCAGTGGTTTCACAACGTGAATGAGAACGACGTTGTAATAGTGATAGCAGAAGTTTTGAAACACTCCCTTAAACAGTACCTAAACAAAATGTGTCCATGCATGTGTCCCTGCATACAAAATCAACTGCACAATGGTAATTTTTTACCTAATATTTTAACTGAATACATCTCCTAAGTCATTGTGAACCCTTCTTAGAAACCACAATATTCAAGAGTATGTTTTAGCAATGACGTCCACCTTTAAGATTCCTAGCAGCCTGCAGAAAACTTACTACATCTGCCCTCACGATAAATATCAAACTTTGCACACGTGCAAGTTATATTCATAACCTCTGTGTTATTGAGTGTTCTGGTAATATCAAGTGATAAGAGTAATGTAACATTGTGTGTTACAAAAAGAGAATATGTAACACCAAGTGTTAAATAGGAGGGTATGTAACACCAAGTGCGTTGTGGTTAGCGGAGTGCTTACGCTTATTTCGTGTGGCGAGAATGACTGCTTTTTATAAATTATTGATGCTGGTCGCATTTTTTTTCTGATTTTGCAGGCTGAATGGTATTTCTTCGATAAGATAGTCAAGGCCATTAAAGCAGTTGGCGCGGGCGTCGACAACGCATTTGAAGCAGTTAAAAACAAAATCATTACAGGGGTGTATTTGGCAAAGGTGGCACTCGGGACAGCTTAACGGGTCAAGCCTTGCAGCTACCAGGAAGCGCCCAGCACATTGGTTGCGGACATACACCTGAGCCTCACTGCTACGAATCTCAGCTCATATGCGCCTGAAGACGGCAAGACGTACCAGAAACTCTCTCAGCATGCTGCTGATGACTTTAGTGTTAAGTGACTGAGCCTGTGGGAAGAAAGTGGGAAGAAGTGTGCTCTTGCCATGCCCGGACAAATTAGACAAAATAGAAGACAAATTTGTTCAGTTCATCGTTGAGGCCTCCTAAGTCCTATGCTGCGACGTAACATTGTTGATCTCTTCATTAGTCTTATTAGCAAACATAGAGTTTCATGCAATAATACCTCGAGAGAGATCTGGCACTAACGTTTACGTTGGTTCCTTGAACGGCACTTGAGTTCCCGTGGGAATGATGGAAAATATTGGATTTGGTTTTGCATCAGAAAGATTTTCTTTTTGAAATATTTGAAGCTTTTTAACTGAGCTTCAAAGAAACAAGTATGAAGGTGTTTTTTTTTTCAGTTAAAATTTCCATAAATCTTCCGTATGAAGTATATTGCAGAACGTTCCCGTCACCGTGCGGTTCAAGTAAAGCCTGAGCATTTTAAGCCGTCACAGTATACATTTTGGCTATTGGTTTGAAGATTTTGCATGACGAAACAATCAATATTTTTTTAACTTTTCAAAGCACTATAAACAGGTTTGTTTTTTTCGTCAAAAGTAAGCATCACCAGCTTATAGAGTTAGAAGAATGTACTGAGTAGGAGAAAGAACAAACTTTATGCGGCAAAAATTAATAAATAAAGGCAGTTGGGATTGGCCCTCAGTTTATGGCTCTACCGACCCGAGCGGCTCGCTGGAAGTGTTCAAGCAAAGCTATTTAACTCTTTTTGAACTCGTCCCATGCCGTGCTTCCCAGTGCCTGTAGTGAAAAAAAACCTAACGAATCGTCTCGTCTGATGACACATGGGTATCTCAGTAGTTTGCCGCAACGCATCTCTCATTTTGTTCCCAAGCAATGTTCAAGTAGCGAGATGTTGCGTCTACTTTATATCCCCATCGGTTTGTAGCCTGTTTGAATGAGTTTTCACAAGACGCGCTTAATAAGCACGTGCATCAAGAGCGTGTAGGCCGTGTGGAATACCTTTCCACAAGAAATACAACGGAACATTAATTTCTCTCTGGCAATTAAAAAATACTTATTAAGTAGCATATACATATGCGACGTTTTAATGCTCTAAATAGCCATACGAAAAACATGTCGAAATGAAGTTATACTGCATGTCTTGTATACACTCTTTAAAATTATTGTATATTGCCGCGCCCGAAACAAAGAACGAAGACGATGTGCGCGCCAACAGCCTCGTGAAAAGGAGGACTGAAGAAGACGACGTACTTTCGTTTTTGGCTCGCCTGCTCTTGGCTCCTGCATAAAAACACACGCCGTCTGTTCTCGGACTCCAACGTCTCGGTGCACTGCTTACGTTGAACCGCGACACTGGTGGAGGCGCTGAGTTGCAAGCCTGCTGATGCTCAACACCCCATCTGGGAGCCGTTCATCAAGTCCCGACACGCAGTCATCTGTTACGACACCAGTGCACCGCTTCAGTCGCCGGTTGCTAGGCCTATCTCCAGAGCTGACCTCCTTCGACGAACATTCTACCAGGCATTACGTACCTCTACCAATGGCCTCCGCTAGCCAGCCACAGTTGGTCCAAGGGATACAAGGCAGCCCCGTTTCCAATCCAGCCCAGGTAACACTTCTTCAGCCACTTGTGCCTGATCGCTTCAGTGGTGCCCCACACGAAGATGTTGAAGATTGGCTTGAGCATTACGAACGCGTTGCCGACATCAACCAGTGGAATGCTCAACAGAAGCTCGCCCGCACGTATTTCACTCTCGATGACGGCGCTCACACGTGGCTTGAGAATCGAGAAGGCCGTATATCCACATGGGATGACTTTCGTCAGCAGCTGATTGACACCTTTGCTAGCGGCGACCATCGAGAGCGGGCTCAGCAGCAGCTCGAGTTAAGGCTTCAAAAACCTAACGAAACTGTGGCAATGTTTGCTGAAGACGTGACGTGCCTCTGTCGTCGGGCTGATCCCAACATGTCCGAGGAGAAGAAGTTGCGCTACCTTATGCGTGGCGTCAAAGAACAACTGTTCGCTGGACTTGTGCGCAATGCCCCAACTACCGTGGCCGATTTTATAAGAGAAGCCACTGCCATTGAGCGTGCTCTGCACCAAAGATCGAGGCAATATGATCGCTCGTCCACTACCACCCCAATCAACGCCGCTTCAGTGACTCTGGACAATCAGGGCTCCCTACGTGACCTTATCAGAGATATTGTCCGCGAAGAAATGCAGAAGCTTTGGACTCCTCCAGTGGATACACCAGTGACCGCCGTTGCCGCGGTCGTTCGTGACGAACTTAGGCACGCTTTTTCAGCAGCTGATCTCGATCGCGATCAGCGTCAACTGAGTTACGCCGACGCTGTCCGCCGACCACCACCCGTCCCGCCCATTACATCAGCATACTACCAGCCACCTACAGCCGCACCTTCGTCGCAACCATTGCAGGAGGCTTTCAGACGTCAGCCCATGTCTCCGGTGTCTCCATGCCACCAGCCACCACTTGCCACGCCTTACTCACCACCACGAGAGGACATAAGACGCCCACAATTTCGCAGAACGGACGCTTGGCGCACCGTCGATCGGCGCCCTCTCTGCTTCAACTGTGGTGGTGCCGGCCATATAGCTCGCTATTGTTGGTACCGCGACACATCGCTTCGCCCGTCTCGGCCAGGGTACGACGGTCGCCGTGCCAATGACGACTACATTGTTCGCCATGACGACCCTGGTTTTCGAGGACCTTCAACAACGTGGTCTCCCTATCACGAGTCGCCTCCTCATCGCCAGCCCTATTCCGCCCACAGGTCACGCTCTCCATCCCCTGCTCAGACAACATCACCGAATCGACGTACTTTTGCTGACCTTCGGGGAACAAGGTCGCCCAGCCCTTACCGGGGAAACTAAAGGCGGCGACCTCTCGGGGTAAGTTCGCAGCCCGACCACAAGACGATAAAAAGTTCCCAGTACTGCCGCGACAGAACGACTTGACGCCAACGAATATTAACAACGACGAAATCATGAGCGCCGACCTCCATGTAATTATTGACGGAGAGCAAGTGACGGCCTTAGTCGATACGGGTGCTGATTTTTCCATAATAAGTCGCAAGCTGGCTGATCATCTTAGAAAAGTAAGAACGCCATGGACAGGACCACATATAAGAACAGCGGGTGGTCAATTGCTGCTCCCTACTGAAAGATGCACAGCAAGAATCAGCATAGGGGACTCTTCTTTCGTCGCGACTTTCATTGTTCTCCCAGAGTGCTGCAAAGATTTAATTATAGGAATGTACTTTCTCAGGGAGCATGTCGCAATAATCAACATCCCGGACCGCGTGGTTTCATTTTACGAGAGTGCTCGTGTGACTGATCCTACATTACCAGAGCACAAATCCTTTCGTCTCAAAGACCACAATATAGTCGTGCCGCCTCGATCATGTATCCTCGTTTGAGTAGCATGTGACGTACCGTTCTACGGTGAAGGAGTCGCCGACCAAATAACCTCGCTGCTTTTCACTCACGGGATTTCCGTAGCACGAGGAATAGTCAATGTCACCGACGGCCGAACGAACTTGCTGTTGACCAATTTCACCTCCGAGCGACGGCACCTTCCAAAAGGCACAACGTTGGCACATTTCGACGAGATCGCAGATGTTCATGACTGCTTTTCAGCACTCAAAGCAACACCTGCACAAGACCCACGTGACCTAGCACCTAACCTTGACGTCAGCCCTACTTTAACTCAGCAACAGCGGGAACGCCTGCTTGTGCTGCTAGACGAGTTCCACGACTGTTTTGCGTCGACCTCGAAAGTTGGCCGGACGTCCTTGACCAAGCACCGAATCATCACAGAGGACACGGCTAGACCAATTCATCAAAATCCGTACCGTGTGGCTTCAAAAGAGCGAGAAGCGATAGAACAGCAGGTAACAAAAATGCTTGAAGACGACGTCATTCAACCGTCGAAAAGCCCCTGGGCATCACCTGTTGTTCTAGTGAAAAAGAAGGACGGCAGCCTGCGTTTCTGTGTGGACTATCGAAAGCTAAATCAGGTTACAAAAAAGGACGTGTACCCGCTTCCCCGCATAGATGATTCGATTGACAGGCTTCGAAACGCACGTTACTTCTCTTCCATGGACTTAAAGAGTGGATATTGGCAAATTGAAGTAGACGCCAGGGATCGGAAAAAAACCGCTTTCGTGACGCCAGACGGACTCTACGAATTTAAGGTTTTACCATTTGGCTTGTGCTCCGCTCCTGTTACTTTCCAGCGTCTCATGGATACCGTTCTCTCTGGCCTTAAATGGAGAACCTGCCTAGTATACCTTGACGACGTCATTGTGTTTTCTACAACGTTTGACGAACACCTTGAACGATTGCAAATGGTCTTGCAGGCCATACGGGCCGCAGGCCTGACGCTCAAGCCGGAAAAATGTCACTTCTGCTTTGAGGAACTGCAGTTTCTCGGCCATGTCGTCAGTTATGCTGGAGTTCGTCCAGACCCCGAAAAAGTTGCCGCCGTCGCACAGTTTCCAACACCATCAGATAAAAAGGCAGTGAAGCGTTTTCTGGGTCTCTGTGCATATTATCGGCGATTTATTCCAGATTTTGCACGCATTGCGTCACCTTTAACTCGTCTCACGAGGGATGACGTTGCATTTGTTTGGGGCGACGAACAGGAAGATGCTTTCAATGACTTGCGGCAACGTCTACAGACGACCCCCGTACTTGCCCATTTTGATGACACAGCCCCTACAGTGCTCCATACTGACGCCAGCAATGTTGGCCTCGGAGCTGTGCTTGTACAGCACCAGGATGACGAGGAAAGAGTGATTGCTTACGCAAGCAGAACTCTGTCACGCACAGAAGCAAATTACTCGACCACTGAAAAGGAATGCCTGGCTGTGGTGTGGGCAGTTATGAAATTTCGCCCATACCTGTACGGCCGCCCATTCAAGGTTATCAGTGACCACCATTCGTTGTGTTGGTTAACAAGTCTGAAAGATCCTTCCGGGCGATTGGCACGCTGGAGCCTTAGACTACAGGAGTTTGATATAACGATGGTGTATAAGTCGGGAAAACGACACACGGACGCCGACTGCCTATCTCGATCACCAATAGAGTCGGCTGCTGCTTTTGATGAAGAAACAGCATTCCTCGGAATCCTCGACACGTCAACCATCGCAGATCACCAGCATGACGATCCTGAGCTACTTGGCTTGATTAATTATTTAGAAGGACGAAGACAGAATGCACCCAAAGCCTTTACAAGAGGACTATCGTCGTTCTGTCTGCGAAACAATGTCGTTTACAAAATGAACTTCTCGTCAGACGGGTCCACCTACCTGCTTGTCGTCCCTACCACTCTTCGATCTGAGGTGTTGCAAGCGTGCCACAACGAGGTAACATCTGGACATTTAGGCTACACGCGCACACTGAGCAGAGTTCGAGGGAGATATTACTGGCCTAGACTCACCGCTACCGTGAAGCATCATGTTCGGACCTGCCTCGATTGCCAGCGGCGCAAGTCACCTCCAACGAAACGAGCCGGTTTGCTACACCCTGTCCAGATCCCGACAACGCAGTTTGACCAGATCGGAATGGACCTTTTGGGCCCACTTCCCACCTCTAGTGTTGGTAACCGTTGGGTTATAGTGGCGAC